GTGGTGGTGTGGTCAATTTGCCTAGTCGCACTGGAACAAGTGAATGAGCACACAGACGAATGCACACAAGCAGACAAGGAGAAAAAGCAAAAAAAATAAGGCAAGCAGACTTTCCGTTAAAAACAACCATACTCTGTAGATGTTGGCAGCCGATGTTGAACAGTTTTACTCCTGAATCTCCATTCNGACCTAAAACAAGCTTCCCACCCGATCCGATTAATTTTGTTCTGTCTTCATGTCCATGCATAGCCGTAAATGAACCATGTTAGCCACTTTGTGAATTACTTGAAAACCAAGAAACGGGATCATGGAAGTGTGAAATCAAGCGGTGCATGTTCCTTATCTGTTGTCAAAAGTTGAGAACTACTTAATACCCATAGTCTACCCAACTGGAGGGTAACTCTCATTGTGATTCACTGCGAAATGAATCCGCCTAGGTTCAACTAAACGACCGAGACCTTGCTTGACCTTGAAATAATCAGATGCAGAATCCAAGGCATTATTGTTAAAGCTCTGTTCGTGTTCGCGGTTTACTACCAGATTAGTGGTGCACAGTTTGTTTGGTGAATTTGCTATATTCGCATTAGTATTGTTCCATATAGACATTAGCAACAACCGCGAGAATACGATTTCAGTGAAATAAGAATCGGTACCTTTGAGGGATATTTATCAGCTGGGAAATTGGGAGTTAGTGATGAATTTGAAAAGCCGACCCACGGAGCAATTTGGCACTATGACTCAGCCCTGAGTTGCTTACAAATTACATAACAAACCATTTTCATTGAGTTAACCGTGCACGAATCATCAGGTTCTCCCTTCGTGAGGACTCCCCCAGGATTATTTCATCTAAAAAACAGCAGTTTGTATATATAATCATTCCGGCTTTTGAAACACATGCATTTGGATGATGCTTTCGGTCCGATCACTGGCAAGACAACTCGGGTAGGAACCACAGCTGGAATCATAAATGCTAACCAGGCCACACACTGTTCGCACAAAATCCGGTGTTTGTCTGAAGCAGTTACATCAGTTCCGAGATTCGTGATGGTGGATGCGGAAAACAAGTAGTTCTCATTAGCATCGAAAATCAAGCCCACAGGTGTCAGCTGACCACCAACTGCCGTTTGTTTCGCGTTCTCTTGCGTGATTGTGTGGGTATGGATGTACGCGTTTCCAACCGAATAACTATCAGTGTACGACCCCAAAGAAGTAGGGTTTTGGTTACAGTCACCGTGTCAGAGAGGGGGGAGGTTTTTGCATGACAACTGGCTTCGATGTTTGAATCCTCTCTTTTGTATGTATATGTATATATATGTGTATGTGTGTATGTGTGTGTGGATCGTAGCGCATGGGATACTCACTGTTCTATGCATCAGATACAACCACATGTGAGGTTCGGTTTTGAAATAGACAAGGTTTAGAACCAATTCCTGCCTGCTCAAGGTGAAAACCGCTAAATTGAATGAAACTCTTCCGCTGTGAATACTGAATACTGAATAACTGTAAATGTCGTGGTGTGAAGGGGTCAACACTTTCGTTGACTGGTCATTCCAATCAGTGAATGTATTATGTGCAGGAATAAAATGGCTCCGAGCTTACTCCGGGTAGTATCGTTATTAAGGGGGAATAAGATGGTTTGCTCTCACCATCATTAGCATATCATGAATCGCATATTTCATCTCCAAGTCAAACCACATCGATAATAGCCTATTTAAGCCAAGCCAGTGAATTACTTGATTACGTAATAAAGCATTTATGAAGTTAATAAATGCATCCATGAATGAATTTATTATTGTGCAGGTTGAATTGAAGAAGTAGGATAGTATAGCTACAGCAACAAGCATCATAACTACAGGTAATGACGACACCATCACAGCTTGGAGACAAGACTGAAAGATGGTGACCTTCGTCATCTACGTCCGTCCACAGACAAGGTTCCTAAAAGAAATGACCTTGATTTGAAAGTGTTCATCGTATCGAATGATATCACGGAGATATTTTAGCAGCGAACCAGCATTTCAGTTGGTGATGGCGGGTGAACGCATGCGTGAAACATGTTTCTTTCCAAGAGCCACTTGATAATCACTTTGGTGTTCCTCCCTATGTGTATCCTTGTGAATTCTTTTAGACTTATGGTAAACATATCGCTGAACACAACGATAACTACCTGTGTTAGGAGTGTATATGTGAGCGTTGATTTTCATATCAAAAGGATAGTTTGCGCTGGGTAAATGTTAACCCTATGTTGACCGTAATTAAGATAACCATTAGCACAAATGAACTCGACTAAACAACACAACAGAAATTTAGGGCAATAATACATATTTTTTGAGAGGGAATGAATATCAGACGACATGGTCAAGCTACTCAGTGCAGCAGTTAACACCTAAGATTTGGAGTGATAAACTTGAACTTTTCCGTAACCATATATGGTGCTGCATGGAAGAAGAAACCAGTTGTTTTATGGGCCAACACGCGTTCGGTCCTGTGCCCGTGTGATTCGATTGATTGAGGAAAAACCGCGATGCTTCGCGACTAAACGACTGTCAGATTGAAACTGTCAAACTCTGCGGACTGATTCCCGCCGAGATAATAGTATATGCGTGACTGGACAACATTTCGCGGGACGTTCACAACCGGTTTCACGATGGGTTATTGACAATCTTGTGTCAAGAAATTATTGTACTTTTACTCCCCATGAACAGTTCGTTACAACTATCTTAATTAACCAATTCGGTAGCATTTTCACACAATATTTAGCAACCAGTATTGCATTTTAATTTTTCTTTAGGTTGCTCACATCTAGCCTATTAATATCAGCGTAGAATCACAGCACTCGTTTACCTATAGCTCCTTTGGCAAAGACCCCTTCAGAATAAATATTAAAAGAAGTGCAAGTTATCAAGTTTGATGCATAAAACGGTGGGTTTCTTCAAACAAACTCATATCAAGCACCACACAGCATTTATTTGACCGAGTCTTCTGAGTCAGTCCACATTACCTGACGTGGCCTGTAGAACACGAAGCTGAAATTTATTACGAGCCCTGGTCTAGCCTGATTCTTCCACTTCTCACAAGAATAAACCCGGTTACAATAAAGAAATACAATGAACATTGCAATATTTTTATGAACTGAGCACACACCCAAGCATGCTCATAAACAAGCACACACATATATAAGGCGGTTGGTAGGACGTGTTTCACCATGCAGTATCAAATTTTGTCACTTCAAAGAATTGCACTGCTGTTTTATTATTCCTGTTATGAGTCTGCAATAATGAATGTCCATCGAGCTTACGTTGACTCCAGGCCACATTTACGTGTTTTCACTACACTATCTTGTCTGGCTCAACAATCCCTGGTGTAGCGCTTCATCCATCTTGGTCATAGAACACTCAAAATCAGCTCTTTGAAGCACAACTCGTCTGGGCGGGTAGTGTCGAACCATTTAGCACGCCACTTATTTTTCCCAATCAAAAATCAAAATGTATATGTGACACGAGGTTCACTGAAGTGGTCACTTCCAAGAATACCACTAACAAGTCTCCCATTTTCAGCACACTTATGGGTAATGTCAACTTGCCCTTCTGTCACTCGTTTACTCATCACAAACACCCGGCAGCCCCCCCCCCCCC